GGTGTATATAATCATGTATCTCTCCCTCCTGCGTTCCAGGGAATACAGGTTTAGGAACCTCAGCGCTCCATAATTGAGGTGTTTTATCTCCGTTATGCGCGCCGTGAAAGTTCTCTGTACATTTTCTAGGTCGGCAATTTCACCTGCCTTGAAAGGTGCTGTTAGTGTGCAGCAATATTCCAGCCTAGATAGAACAAGTGACCTGAAGAGTGTCATCATGGGCTTGGCCTCCCTAGTTTTGAAGGTTTTCATTATCCATCTGTCATTTTTCTAGCAGATGCGATTGATACAATGTTATGGTCCTTGAAGGTGAGATCCTCCGACATGATCACTCCCAGGTCTTTGACGTTGGTGTTTCGCTCTATTTTGTGGCCAGAATTTGTTTTGTACTCTGATGAAGATTTAATTTCCTCATGTTTACCATATCTGAGTAATTGAAATTTCTCATCGTTGAACTTCATATTGTTTTCTGCAGCCCACTGAAAGATTTGGTTGATGTCTGCCTGGAGCTTTGCAGTGTCTGCAATGGAAGACACTGTCATGCAGATTCGGGCGTCATCTGCGAAGGAAGACACGGTGCTGTGGCTGACATCCTTGTCTATGTCGGATATAAGGATGAGGAACAAGATGGGAGCGAGTACTGTGCCTTGTGGAACAGAGCTTTTCACAGTTAGCTACCTCGGACTTTATCTCTGTTGACGACTACTCTCTGTGTTCTGTTAGTGAGGAAATTATAGATCCATCGACCGACTTTTCCTGTTATTCCTTTAGCACGCATTTTGTGCGCTATTACGCCATGGTCACACTTGTCGAAGGCTTTTGCAAAGTCTGTATATATTACATCTGCATTCTTTTTGTCTTCTAGTGCATTTAGGACCTTGTCGTAGTGGTCCAATAGTTGAGACAGACAGGAGCGACCTGTTCTAACCCATGTTGCCTGGGTTGTGTAACTGATGGGTTTCTAGATGCATGGTGATCTTGCTTCTTAGGACCTTTCAAAGATTTTTATGATATGGGATGTTAGTGCTATTGGTCTGTAGTTCTTTGCTGTTGCTTTACTGCCCCCTTTGTGGAGTGGGGCTATGTCTGTTGTTTTTAGTAACTGTGGGACGACCCCCGTGTCCATGCTCCCTCTCCATAGGATGGAAAAGGCTCGTGATAGGGGCTTCTTGCAGTTCTTGATGAACACAGAGTTCCATGAGTCTGGCCCTGGGGCAGAGTGCATGGGCATGTCATTTATCGCCTGTTCGAAGTCATTTGGCGTCAGGATAACATCGGATAGGCTTGTGTTAATCAAATTTTGTGGCTCTCTCATAACAGCCAACCAAAAGGAAAATTGGTTAAGAGTCACAATAGAGATGAAAAAAGAACTTATAGTGAAATATGAAAGCGGTGCCTGGGTGTCTGATCTAGCTACCGAGTTTCGCATGGCGAAATCTATGATCTCTACTATACTGAAAATAAAGAGGCCATTAAAAAGGCTGATGTTGCAACATAAATGAAAGCAGTTATGAAACAAAGATCACAAATAATTGAAGAGGATGAGATATTGTTAATTTGGATCAATGAAAAACAGTTAGCTGGTGATAGTGTTTCTGAGACCTTAATTTGCAAAAAAGCAAAACATCTGCATTCCAATTTCTTGAAAAACACTCCTGGAATGAGTGCTGATACAGGTAGTGAAGTGTTCAGAGCATGCTAGGCTTGTAAAGTTTGTTAAAATGCTTTTGTAAGTGTATTTTTGGGAGTCTGAAACAGATTAATCTAATTTACATTATTCCTTATGGGAAAAATTCGTTTGGTACTTGAACAGATCAACTCTCAAAGAACCTTCTGGAATGAATTAAGTTTGAGTACCAAGGTACTATTGTAATCTGATATAGTACAAGTCAGAACAATCACAGAGAACATACATTCAATCGAATCGAGCCCACATTCAAACAAATATTCTCAATTTTCTGACCAGAATAGTCAGAGAATGCTGAGACCAGCTAAAAAAAACAGAATCAGTTGTAGGCAAAGTAAGTTCAGGTACATGACCAACCAGGTCATTCAGATAGGCAAACAGATGCCCCTGAGGGACATGACGAGATTCCATTTTTATCCTGTAGTATTCCACCTTATGAGTGGGTATGGAAGAGTAAAATAATATGGAAGAGATTATACATGAATCACCATGTTAAGTATTCATTTCATATTGGTTAAGAGTACAGTTTGTAATGTATGTACAGGATGCTCTCAACTTTTTCTTTGAGCTTTAGGAAAAATGTCTTGTAGATAAAAGCTATTTTTTTTATTATGGTTCTGTATGGTTTGTTTTTTATTGCATATATTACTCTTAAAATGTATCATCTTGTTACTAGCATCTTGTACTAGTATTTACATTTTTATTATTATCATCACACTGGCCGATTCCCACCAAGGCAGGGTGGCCCGAAAAAGAAAAACTTTCACCATCATTCACTCCATCACTGTCTTGCCAGAAGGGTGCTTTACACTACAGTTTTTAAACTGCAACATTAACACCCCTCCTTCAGAGTGCAGGCACTGTACTTCCCATCTCCAGGACTCAAGTCCGGCCTGCCGGTTTCCCTGAATCCCTTCATAAATGTTACTTTGCTCACACTCCAACAGCACGTCAAGTATTAAAAACCATTTGTCTCCATTCACTCCTATCAAACACGCTCACGCATGCCTGCTGGAAGTCCAAGCCCCTCGCACACAAACCTCCTTTACCCCCTCCCTCCAACCTTTCCTAGGCCGACCCTACCCCGCCTTCCTTCCACTACAGACTGATACACTCTTGAAGTCATTCTGTTTCGCTCCATTCTCTCTACATGTCCGAACACCTCAACAACCCTTCCTAGCCTCTGGACAAGAGTTTTGGTAATCCGCACCTCCTCCTAACTTCCAATCTACGAATTCTCTGCATTATATTCACACCACACATTGCCTCAGACATGACATCTCCACTGCCTCCAGCCTTTCCTCGCTGCAACATTCATCACCATGCTTCACACCCATATAAGAGTGTTTGTAAAAACTATACTCTCGTACATTCCCCTCTTTGCCTCCAGGACAAAGTTCTTTGTCTCCACAGACTCCTAAGTGCACACTCACTCTTTTTCCCTCATCAATTCTATGATTCACTCATCTTTACTAGACCCATCCGCTGACACGTCCACTCCCAAATATCTGAATAACTTCACCTCTCCATACTCTCTCCCTCCAATCTGATATCCAATCTTTCATCACCTATCTTTTTGTTATCCTCATAACCTTACTCTTTCCTGTATTCACCTTTAATTTTCTTCTTTTGCACACCCTACCAAATTCATCCACCAATCTCTGCAACTTCTCTTCAGAATCTCCAAGAGCACAGTGTCATCAGCAAAGAGCAGCTGTGACAACTCCCACTTTGTGTGTGATTCTTTATCTTTTAACTCCACGCCTCTTGCCAAGACCCTCGCATTTACTTTCTTACAACCCCATCTATAAATATATTAAAAAACCACGGTGACATCACACATCCTTGTCCAAGGCTACTTTTACTGGGAAAAAATTTCCCTCTTTCCTACATACTCTAACTTGAGCCTCACTATCCTCGTAAAAACTCTTCACTGCTTTCAGTAACCTACCTCCTACACCATACACTTGCAACATCTGCCACATTGCCCCCTATCCACCCTGTCATACGCCTTTTCCAAATCCATAAATGCCACAAAGACCTCTTTAGCCTTATCTAAATACTGTTCACTTATATGTTTCACTGTAAACACCTGGTCCACACACCCCTACCTTTCCTAAAGACTCCTTGCTCATCTGCTATCCTATTCTCCGTCTTACTCTTAATTCTTTCAATTATAACTCTACCATACACTTTACCAGGTATACTCAACAGACTTATCCCCTATAACTTTTGCACTCTCTTTTATCCCCTTTGCCTTTATACAAAGGAACTATGCATGCTCTCTGCCAATCCCTAGGTACCTTACCCTCTTCCATTCATTTATTAAATAATTGCACCAACCACTCCAAAACTATATCCCACTGCTTTTAACATTTCTATCTTTATCCATCAATCCCGGCTGCCTTACCCCTTTCATTTTACCTACTGCCTCACGAACTTCCCCACTTTCACAACTGGCTCTTCCTCACTCCTACAAGATGTTATTCTCCTTGTCCTATACACGAAATCACAGCTTCCCTATCTTCATCAACATTTAACAATTCCTCAAAATATTCCCTCCATCTTCCAATACCTAACTCTCCATTTAATAACTCTCCTCTCCTATTTTTAACTGACAAATCCATTTGTTCTCTAGGCTTTCTTAACTTGTTAATCTCACTCCAAAACTTTTTCTTATTTTCAACAAAATTTGTTGATAACATCTCACCCACTCTCTCATTTGCTCTCTTTTTACAGTTGCTTCACCACTCTCTTAACCTCTCTCTTTTTCTCCATATACTCTTCCCTCCTTGCATCACTTCTACTTTGTAAAAACTTCTCATATGCTAACTTTTTCCCCCTTACTACTCTCTTTACATCATCATTCCACCAATCGCTCCTCTTCCCTCCTGCACCCACTTTCCTGTAACCACAAACTTCTGCTGAACACTCTAACACTACATTTTTACACCTGCCCCATACCTCTTCGACCCCATTGCCTATGCTCTCATTAGCCCATCTATCCTCCAATAGCTGTTTATATCTTACCCTAACATGTGAATGATTAAAGTAATTTAATTTCTGTCTTCCTCTTAGCTTACTCAGCATTCCGAAGGTGATGTTTCAAGTTGGACATATAGCATTTACAAGTTGAAAACATTTACCACTCTTAATAGATTTGTATACAGACGTGTACTCCCGACAATACTGAAGTAAAGCCAAGTACACAACAAGCATTATTAAGCTCTACATAGACTGAAATGTCACAATAAAAGCTTGCTAGGTGTGTACATGTCTTCTGAACAGATTTTCATTTATTAATTTCCAACAGGTCGCGAAGTACATAAAATGTTTGATGAGCACCCTGTTCCTATGGATCACGAATCAGAGGATACAATAAGTAAATGGCAGGATGTGCGCAATTTCCAGAGGCTTATGAAAGAAAAGGAATTCTTGGAAAAAAGAAGAGCTTTAAGGTGAGTTATTCCCTTAAGAGATTCATCTTACAGCAGTGTTCGTGAAGAATTAAAATAGTTTTTGTTAGACTGTGCAGTGTATCAACAACCAGTCACTGAAAGTTTCTGCTTTCACTAGCTTGAGACTTGGACATGACCAAGTCTAAAGCTGGACATGACCAGTTTTAACCCTTTGACTGTCTTTGTCGTATAAATACGTCTTACGAGCCAGTGATTTTGATGTATTAATACGCCAAAATTCTAGCGGCTTCAAATCAAGTGAGAGAAAGCTGGTAGGCCTACGTGTGAGAGAATGGGTGTTACGATTCTGGCCTGTAGACCACTGATTTGTTTAGTGTTTATCGTAACAAAAGTAAAGCAGATGCTAGGAAGTATCGATGTACTACTCACAATCTGAGTCATACAAGGTGAAATGAGATCTTTAGGGTCTTTTCCGGATTTTATTTAAGAATATACTAAGCTTTTCAGGGCACTTAGTAAAATAAATAAATCATACAACCTCCTTACTCTTAGGAGGGGTGTAAACACTTTGAATAGGCCTTTTCTTTCACTCTCGTATAAATATATATACATGTATATGTAGGGTAATCAACTTCTCTAACATGGCACCACAGTCTACAACTGTCTGTACTGTCTTAACACAATAACATAAATAAAGAGGATTTACGTCACTTCCTCTAAATTGAACCACTTCACAAGGTCTCTTGGTACCACTGCTTTCCCGAGAGAATCAGAGCTCACTACTGAAATTCTGCTCCGAAGACTATTCTGGAGATAGTACCGAGGGACTAGGAGAGCCTCTTTGGTAATGTTCACTACCCAAGGTAAGAGCGAACTGCCCTGAGTAGAATGCTCAGGTTTGACATCAACTCGGTATAAGTGAGGGTGGAGAGATACAAAGGATCCACTAGGTACTTCACACCTAGCCTTTGAACTCTTCCATTCGCCTAGTTTCCTACCTAAACTTTTTTTTTTTTTCAACAAGTTGGCCGTCTCCCACCGAGGCAGGATGACCCAAAAAGAAAGAAAATCCCCAAAAAGAAAATACTTTCATCATCATTCAACACTTTCACCTCACTCACACATAATCACTGTTTTTGCAGAGGTGCCCAGAATACAACAGTTTAGAAGTATATACGTATAAAAATACACAATATATCCCTCCAAACTGCCAATATCCAAAACCCCTCCTTTCGAGTGCAGGCATTGTACTTCCCATTTCCAGGACTGAAGTCCAGTTATATAAAATAACCGATTTCGCTGAATCCCTTCACTAAATATTACCCTGCTCACACTCCAACAGCTCGTCAGGTCCCAAATACCATTTGTCTCCATTCACTCCTATCTAACATGCTCATGCACTCTTGCTGAAGTCCAAACCCCTCTCCCACAACACCTCCTTTACCCCCTCCCTCCAGCCTTTTCGAGGACGACCCCCTACCCCACCTTCCTTCCCCTACAGATTTATACTTTGATCCATTCTCTCTAAATGGCCAAACCACCTCAACAAACCCTCTTCAGCCCTCTGACTAATACTTTTGTTAACTCCACACCTTCTCCTAATTTCCACACTCCAAATTTTCTGCATAATATTTACACCACACATTGCCCTTAGACAGGATATCTCCACTGCCTCCAACTGCCTCCTCGCTGCAGCATTTACATCCCAAGCTTCACACCCATATTAGAGTGTTGGTACTACTATACTTTCATACATTCCCTTCTTTGCCTCCATAGATATCATTTTTTGCCTCCACATATACCTCAATGCACCACTCACCTTTTTTCTTTCATCAATTCTATGATTAACCTCATCCTTTATAAATCCATCCGCTGACATGTTAACTCCCAAATATCTGAAAACATTCACTTCTTCCATACTCCTCCTCCTCTCCAATTTGATATCCAATTTTTCTTTATCTAAATAATTTGATACTCTCATCACCTTACTCTTTTCTGTGTTCACTTTCAACTTTCTACCTTTACACACCAGTCAAATAATCCATAGTTATATAATTTAGAGTCATTTAATATTATAAACTAGAGGAATCTTTAATTTAGCTATTATTAAAGAGGCACCGGAGACAGAGCTCTCTGGACAGATATTTTGTGCAACAGGGGTCCAGTGATTCTCAAGCTGGTCCTTGTGCCATTAAAAGACAAAGAAGGGAAGTAACTCAAGAGAGGGATTTATTATCTGAAGTCATTATGGAAGGGTATTCCCCTTCCAAACAATAACCCCAACTCCCTCTCCCCTTCTTGCCTTCTTCCACATGCCAACAAGAGTCTTCAATAAAGGTATGTAATGTTTATATTTATTTATCATTGTTTTGTGTATGTAAAACTATAGTTAAACTTTACAAAATGTATTTGTTTTATTATTTTTGGGTGTCTGGAACGGATTAATTGTATTTACATTAATTCTTATGGGAAATATTGCTTCGAATTTAGGCTGTTTCAAATTTAGGCCGACCTTCTGGAACAGATTACGGCCAATATTCGGGGTTCCACTGTATTGTAATAACAGAATAGAGGAAATCAGCTCTAATATCCATTGTTTAAGTATGCATACTGGTCAGAGAGCCCATCGTAAGTCCAAGTCAGCGGTAAATGAGTATGTCGCTAAGTGAGGAGAGGCTATGGTGAATTATGGTTGCAATTGTATCAGCTAGCCTTGTTGGTTTTGAAGCCAGGGTTCAAGCCATAGTACCATGTCATGAACTCAGCTCACTCAGATAAGCTGTGAGTGGTAAATTTGGGCCTAGATATGAGAGAATGCATCTGTGTGGTAAGTGTGCACCATATAAAACTAATTTTGCAGCACGCAGTGCATGAGAAAAAGCTGCTACCATGTTTTTGGATTAAAACCGGCTTTGTGGTGTATTTTTGTATATTTTTTATGGTTGTATTCGCGGTTTCTTGGTCTCATTTGTTAGAATAAAGGATATATTGCAGAAATAGAGATGATCTTGATTGGTTTTAGCACTCAAACAGCTTAAAATTGAGTTCAAATTAATGGAAAAGTTCGAGTTTTGCCAATGTTCAAGAGTAAACAAATCACATCACGCATCCAATACATATCAGCTGGTGGATTTGATATGCATTCACAAATGCTCTGATATTATTTATACAATTATTGCAGTATTACATAAAAATAAATCTTCTATTTTTTGGTGTGAATAAAAATTCTTTATGTGAAAAAAAATCAAAATGGAATTCATGTGTAAAGCCTGGAAACATAACTAATAAACAGAGGAAATATTAGTTTAGTGCCAGGAATGCCTGCATTGTTTATTTTCGACCCTATTTTGAAACTGGAATATTTTGAACTTTGTGTGAAATTGGCCAGTTTACCAAGTTCTGATCACTTTATTGGGTAGTTGAAATAGCTGATTGGGCGATTTCTTGTGCTCAGTAGATAAAGTGGAACACATGCTAACAAAACAGCTAAGAATTTGATCTAATGGAACAATGTAATTAGCCAAAAATAGGACTCGAAGTGGGCAGAATCGCTGCTGCATAAATATCGCTGACACAACAAATTAGCAAGAGCATAATTTTGTCAGTTTTTGATCAAATTTCGTACTTTTTGTTTTGTTACCTTCAGAAAAAGATTCTCTACCATTTCATAAGAAAAAAAAATAATTTTTTTTTGAAAATTCTTGGACCCTATGGGGAATTTTCAGATTGGAGGTCTGGACCCTCAAAGAGTTAATGAATCTAGGAGTGCCAGGAGGTTATCATAGTGTTTACTTAGGGATCTAATATTGTAATTCAAAATTGTAATATTTCTGGCATTGCTGAGGACAGTACTGGCTTCTGTTGCTGTGTAGTAAAGGCACTTGCTTTGAGTTGAATGGTGACTGGGATTTAGATTACATGGTTCAGTTGAAGGTCGGTGTCAGCATTGAGCATTTAGGGTTAACTGATAAATATTTAAGTGAGTATGAATTGTAGAAGAGTGATAAGGGGTAATATTAATATCTGTAATAAGGGGGTGATTGAACAATAATGGTGTACATGTATATTGTGCTAGTAGATTGTAATACTTGACGTGCTGTTGGAGTGTGAGCAAAGTAACATTTATGAAGGGGTTCAGGGAAACCGGCAGGCCGGACTTGAGTCCTGGAGATGGGAAGTACAGTGCCTGCACTCTGAAGGAGGGGTGTTAATGTTGCAGTTTAAAAACTGTAGTGTAAAGCACCCTTCTGGCTAGACAGTGATGGAGTGAATGCTGGTGAAAGTTTTTCTTTTTCGGGCCACCCTGCCTTGGTGGGAATCGGCCAGTGTGATAATAAAAAAAAAAAATACTTACCGAGATATAAGGCCTCGAAGTTGGCAATGGATGCTCATTTGTTGGCAACATGGAGTCCTGCAGCTTGCAGAAATATTACTGCTATACCTCTTTTTCTCTCTTTTTTTTTTTTAATTTATAATTTTTATGTTCTGATAATTACAATTTGTAGTAGTTCTTGTGATTTCATAGCCAATGTTTGTTCTGACACTAATATTTAGTACTGAAATAGTGCTCAAATAGTCTCAAACACATTGACAGGTGAACATTTTCATCTGTCTTGGTCACATACTATTGTCTAGAAATATATACAAAGTATTTATAAGTCCCAGCAATGTTTTAGACATTTTTTTTTTTTTTTTTTTTTAACAAGTCGGCCGTCTCCCACCGAGGCAGGGTGACCCAAAAAAAAGAAAGAAAATCCCCAAAAAGAAAATACTTTCATCATCATTCAACACTTTCACCACACTCACACATTATCACTGCTTTTGCAGAGGTGCTCAGAATACAACAGTTTAGAAGCATATACGTATAAAGATACACAACATATCCCTCCAAACTGCCAATATCCCAAACCCCTCCTTTAAAGTGCAAGCATTGTACTTCCCATTTCCAGGACTCAAGTCCGACTATATGAAAATAACCGGTTTCCCTGAATCCCTTCACTAAATATTACCCTGCTCACACTCCAACAGATCGTCAGGTCTTTAGACATGCTGGAGTATATATGAAACTCCTTGAAGCACGGTGTAAGATGACAGTGCAGCAGTGGAGTGGCATTTGATGATCGTGCGCTGCCTTGGCTTTATTTGTTTTCACTGTTATACATAAACTTGTCTGTCTTTCTGTCTGTCTAGCTCTGTCTCTGTATCTCTGTCTCTGCTTATCTGTCTTTCTGTCTGTCTTCCTGTCTCTCTGTTTGCTTGTATTTCTGTCTCAGAGAGCCACTCATGACCATCAGGTATTATACATGATGCAGAATCATCACGTCTGATTCCCGAACAAGTGAAAATGCATATTACTTGCCAGTCATGCTTATTATGCCTTATACTTACAAGCACAGTATAGCACTTTGTCTGGATTTTTTGGGTTATCCTAGGTAATTTACACTATGTATAATGACTGTATTTATGTGTACCTGTGAGACAGAGACAGAGATAGACAGAGATAGACAGAGATAGAGACAGACAGAGAGATAGAGACAGAGATAGATACAGACAGACAGATATAGAGACAGCCAAAGTCAATCAGCCACCCAGCCAGTCAGCTGAACACATGTTACACTTTCCAGAATTGTTTCTCTCTACTTAGGGCATAGGTTATAGAATCAAAATTGAGAGGATGTTGCACATGGGTTATTATTGAGGTTTTTGATATTTCCTCAACCACATGTGATTACATCCATTTCAAAGCCACTAAACTCGGGGTCAGCATCACTTTCCTCTTAAAAGGGGAGTGTTAATACAACATGGCTTCAGTGAATCCCTGGTGTTTGCCATGCTGTTTGCTCTAGCTGGTGCTCAATTGAACTGGTGCTCCCAAAAGGTACTAAGTGGTCCCAGATTTTTTTAATACTGTGCACACTGTGTGTTAAGACCCATTTTATACTGACCAAGCATCTCAGGCCAATTGTACCAAATTTGAAGGCAGGAAAAATAAAACGTTGATCTACGTTTGGAGCTCTAGCAGTAAGAACTTAGATCTGTTTGGACAGTTAACCCTTTGACTGTTTACGTCGTATATATACGTCTTACGTGCCACTGTTTCTGACGTATTTATACGCGTAAATTCTAGCGGCTTCAAATCAAGCAGGAGAAAGCTAGTAGGCCCACATGTGAGAGAATGGGTCTGTGTGGTCAGTGTGCACCACATAAAAAAATCCTGCAGCATGCAGTGCATAGCATAATGAGAAAAAAAAACTGACCGTTTTTTTAGATTATTACGCCGACTTTGAGGTGTATTTTCATATAGTATTTATCATTGTATTCTCGTTTTCATGGTCTCAGGTGATAAAATGGAAATATATTACAGAAGTAGAGATGATTTTCATTACTTTCTCGATGAAAACGACCTTGAAATTGAGCTCAAAATAGCGGAAATATTTGATTTTTACCAATGTTCAGGAGTAAGCAAATTACACCACACGTCCAATACACATCAACTGGGGAGTCTGATATTCTCTCACAAGTGCACTGATATTATTTATACCATTTTTACAATAATACAATAGTCTGCATAACAGTAAATTTTGTATTTTTTTGTATGAATAAAAAATCAAAATAGAAGGCAATAGTAATATAAGAGGGGCCTAGAGACGTGACTAATGAACAGAGGATATGTTATTTTAGTGCCAAGAATGTCTACATTGTTTATTCTGGGCCCTATTTTGAAATTGGCATCTTTTTTAATTTGCGTGAAATTGGCCAAATTGCCAATTTCTGACCACTTTATTGGGTAGTTCAAATCGGTAAATGGGCGGTTTCTTGTACTCAGCTGATAGAAAAAATGGAGTTCTAAAAAAATAGCTATGAGTTTGGTGAACTGGAATGACGGAATTGGCCAAAAACAGGGCTCAAAGTCGACGAAATTGCCGATGCGTATATGTCCCCGAGACTGCTAACTTCGCGGGAGTGTAATTCCATGAGTTTTCGACTAAATTTCATACTTTTGGTGTCATTACCATTGGGAAAAGATTCTCTATCATTTCATAAGAAAAAATAATCTTTTTTTTTCCCAAATCTTTTGTGACATAGAATGACAGTTTGCGACAGTCAAAGGGTTAAGGGGTTAAATAGAAAGTTTAATATTTTTTATTTTTATGGTGATAATTGTTATTTGTACTTTCTAATTAGAATAATGTACTAAGAATTTTGCATAAACTTTTTGAGTCATTATATTATAATTGTATAATCTTTTATTTTTTACAGGCGTGTTCGCAGTCATGTATGTAAGCTCCTGCGACGCTTCCCAGATGTTGACATGGAAAAACTTCAGCAGCAGTACCCTGAAGTGGATGTACAGGCTCTGCGCAAACGCAAGGATTCTCGGGGTCACCATGATAAAAATCTCAGTTGAAATAGTTCATTTATATTTTGCCTTAAATTTATGATGAATCTGCTTTCATTGCAACACTTTGTTTTAAGATAGGTGTCACTGCTATGGGAAAAATATAGAGTAATGTAGCATTATGAGGATGGTTTGGAGGAGGCAGGACCAAATTGCAATAGTTGCAAAAATCAGATTGACTCTGCAGAAACTTTTTTATAAAATTGTCTAAAATGTTGACCTGGGTCTTTTGAGTTTGGAAGGGGAGATGAAAAAGTAGAGAAAGGGATTAAAACATGTATTGTAGTAGATAGCCAGAATTAATAGATTTTTTCAACAAACCAGCCATATCCCACCAAGGCAGGGTGACCTGAAAAGAAAAACAAAAGTTTCTCGTTTTAAATTTAGTAATTTATACAGGAGAAGGGGTTAGAATTAGTAGATGTGAGCTAATAATTATAGCTTGATTTGAAGACATTTGCTGAGTAAATTTCAGTTGAGATAGTTGTTGAGTACAGTAGCACACTTCACATTGCCAACACGTATATTTTTTTCTTCTGGTCTGTATTTTATGCTTTTATACAAACTGGAAACATTTAACTTAAAAAATTATTATTATACTATATTTATTATGGTTTTTAAGATAACTTTTCATTTATTAAATATAATGAGTACTACAGACACTTATAATGAGTACTACAGACTTGTCGAGTGATGTATCTTCAAGTTGATTTGGTGCTTGTGTAGGGCTCTTGACCATAGGAGCTACCTTCTCTTTCCTTGGATCAAACCTAGTTTTCACATTCCCCAGGTGCTGGGTGACACTTGTTGGTCTGCTGCTTCCCCCATGAATATAATAGTACAGCATGTATCTTCACATTATAAAGCTTTCAAAGCACAAGTGTATTATTGCTGTATTCATAGCAAAGCTGTAGACCAGTAGGGGTTATATGGCACCTTAGGAATGGGAAGCAGTCAGGCTTATTCCAAGAAAGTAGAGAATTGCTCCAATTTCATGGATCAAGAGTGCTTTATTGGTATCTTTACTAGTATCTTGAAGGGTAGTAAAAGACTAAAATTTTCAGAATGGTGAAAATATATGACTAAAATTTTCAGAATGTTGAAAATATATGAAAAATTAACAAACATTGGTTTAGTTATTTATTTGGTATAAATTAGCAGAGTTAATACACTAGCATAGCTGGAAGAGCATCTTGAGTGGGCATAAGGAAGACTTCTAACTATGTGAAAATTTCAAGAAATATTGTTTTTTTTTTGAAGCAGTGAATCCCACATGGGCAAAACAAATAAAATAGAATGGAAAAGATCTGTACATTTTGGGTATGGTGGAGAACTGACTTGTAAGTTTTGCTGTGTACCAGTAGCAGACCTGACAAGCAGTGATGTCTAGATGTCATAGCATGTGTGACTCTTGGCATCTGTAGTACTTGGCTAGTAAATTTGCACTACATATGAAGGAATTTCATTGCTGTCACATATCCTTTTCTTTAATCCATGTCATTCCTGTGCATTTAGCACTGTCGAGCATGACTGTAGTATTCCCCCCTCCCTATAAATCATGTATATTCACAAATTCACAAGAAATCTCAAAAAGGCAACTGTCATTTGTATAGCTGAAAATTACACACACATGCAGCATCTGGGTATCTATATTAAAGATACCCAGATGCTGCATATGTGTCTAATTTTCATCTTGTCGGTGTTGTATACCATTCATGTACTACATTTGTATAACATATATATCTACATATAATAGGGCACCACTTATATGGTGGGTTAGGCTCCAGGTTACCACCATAAAGCAGAAATCAATGTAAAACAAATCACCCTTTTTCATTTATAAATGCATATAAATGCCTGATAACATGTTTATGCTATCATATATTAAGTTAGCAATAGAACTAAGCATTAAAAAACAATAGAAAATACATATACATTACACTCAGTGCTTACCGTAAAATATTTGTAGTCTTAATGCAGAATGAGAGGTGAGAAGTATTTATTGTAGGAAGTCAGGTGTGGTAACTCGCCTGGCTACCACACCTACATGAAATATACATCATTTAAAGTGCTCCAGAGCGATAATAATAATTATTATTATTTTTATCATCAACATACTTTGTTCAGTGAGTTTAATCATTTCTAAGAACTACCTTTAGATGCCATCGTAAACGAGTGAAAACAAGTACGTACAGTGGACCCCCGCTTAACGATCACCTCCAAATGCGACCAATTATGTAAGTGTATTTATGTAAGTGCGTTTGTACGTGTATGTTTGGGGGTCTGAAATGGACTAATCTACTTCACAATATTCCTTATGGGAACAAATTCGGTCAGTACTGGTACCTGAACATACTTCTGGAATGAAAAAAGATCGTTAATCGGGGGTCTACTGTAAATGAGAGAGAGAATGAGAGATGCAGAGAATGTAAACAAACAAATGAATGCATATTAATACCCATCTGCTTACAGTTCATACACATTCATTTTGCATACGTTTGTGAAGCTTTCACCCAACAATACAAGCACCTTACATTGTGTACCAGTTGTCTTCACATTGGTGCAATAGAATAAATAACAGCAACACTCCTATTCTCATGCAACACCATTTTTAGAGGGAATGACGCTATGAGTGAAAGCATATGAAGGGAACATATTTCTACAGTTACCCCAGTAATAATGTAATGTACACAGCTTTTCTGGTGTTGGACTAGAGAAAACGGAATTCTTTCCATCACTCCTATAAGCTGCCTACCTACCACATCTCATATGTCACTTTATTCTATTATGGTTGTATGTATTATGTTTATATGATATGTAATTTTTAAAAAATATCATAGATGGATTAATGAAAATGTCTATATTAATGTAATATACGACATTTAAAGTGCTCCAGAGTGATTATTATTATTATTATGCTTATTGCCAGTGGCGGCTCGTCAAACAGTAGAATGGGGGGACTGCGTGACTGCAAGCCTGATAGAACAGCATAATAAACGTTATTAAAGTAATAATTTTCAAAATTAAACTAAATTTAATGATGATAAGCATTCACATATACGTACCCGTAGAGGTCGTCACAATCCTGCTGGTGGATATGTGGCTAGCTGAGGTGATGATGTTACAACTATTTGAAATTATGTTTTGCTATCAAAATCTTGTATGCTGAATTGCAATGTTCATTTTACCCAGCACTGACAAATCAATAACATTATTTATATGCTTGGTTGACTGCTCATGTTTCATTACTTTTTGTGGTACGTATATGCCTCAAGTCGTAGAGCCACGCCACTTTTTGTCCATGAAAGGTCTCCACCAAATAGTAAGCATAGAAAACAGAAAAAGCATTCTTTACATCACAGCCACAAAGCCATTCACTTTTCTGGTAAACACTGACGCTAAACTGGCGCGTATATTCTTTATTCCTGCTTCTACTTTTTTGTGGAATGGATAAAACTGGTGTATGTTGTCCTCTTTCTTTTAAATTTACTTTTTCACTTATAATCAACTGCAAAAAGTTAATACTTTGTAAATATTTAACTGAATTTACTCTAGTTTCCACTGCCATTGTTTATCAAATGGTAATTAAATTTGACGCTGTTGAAAAGGATTTAAACGGCCACCAACACCAATACCAGCCATGCGTTACAACATGAATATTCACAACTGGGTGTGTGCTGCATTGAGTGTAGCTCTTCACTGCCAGATGTAATGCCAGTAATACCTATGCTATCGTGCCACATCAAACTTCTATTTTTAATCATTTTTTATCTCGTTTCAACAAAAAAAAAAAATTCGCTTATAAATACATTGAAAAAACATACAACAGATTTTTCCTGTAATATATTTGTCAGTTGCAAATTATTTTAACGTAAGTTTAATGAAGTCATATGTCTGGTAGTGAGCATCTGGGGGGATTGCAGCTCTGCAGCTCCTGTAGACGAGCCACCATTGCTTTTTGCATCTTCAAGACTAGTGAGACACTCTTAGTGATTTTAATGTGTACCTGCATGCCAGCACAGTGTGTAAGTTTATTTAGGTGCAGGCACACACAAGTACAATTATCAGAGTACAGTGGACCCCCGCTGTTTGGCGGCTGCGACTTTCGTGAAATCCGACTTTTGGCAAGTTTTTTCGGAAAAATTATCTTCGTGGTTCGTGATTGGACTCGTGATTCGGCGACCTTCTGGTACGTGTCTGCCCGTCTGCGTGCACACAAAGCCAGTCTCCCACACTATTCACACTCAGTGTGCCATTGTTTACCAGCATGTGACCATCACCCCACGGGTTCATACTGCACATTTCATAATAATTATTGTTTTTTGTGCTTACAACTGCTAAATAAGCCAACATGGGCCCAAAGAAAGCTCCTAGTGCCAGCCCTTTGGTAAAGAAGGTGAGAAACACAATAGAATTCAAGAAAAAGACATAGCAAAGTACTAAAGTAGAGGAGGAAGAGAGAGGGGAGAATGTGTTTTCTGCAGTGATTCTACAATATGTATGATACTAAAGGAGCAGGTATCGATACAGGCTATAGCTCCAGCCAGCGATAGTGTGTAGAATTAACAGTGTAGCAAGTAAGATAAGCAAGTAAGCGATAGAAAAAAACATGAGAGTAACTCTCCAATGTTGTTGGATGTGTATAGGACCGCTGAACATACACTGCCCTGCTATCTTCACCACCCTAAACCTCTGCCAACATCTCCTTCATCAAACCAACTAATTAAACTAACATCTCCTCCAAGGTAAGTGTAAATATAAAAGTGTAAGTATAAAAGTAAATATAAGTGTAAATATAAAAGGACACCAATGGAAATATGTCACTCTTGAATTTTTGGGGTTATCCTGGGTACTTTACACATATGCTGCTATGTATTTATTTATTTATTTATTAATTTGAACATGATACAGGTATGAAAGGTAGTAAAGGACGTGTCGATCGTTTCTGAGAAGAACGAGAAGGTGGAGAAGTATCATCAGCAGGTAATTGTCGTTGGCGTTTAGGCGTGGGACCAGAGTTGGTCCGACGTGGAACGGGTCGGCGATTTGAAAATTGCCGCACCGTAGAGGGAGAGGCCGGAAGCATAGTCAGAGGAGAGCGAAGGTCCGATAAATCGAAAGAGTCAGTCGAGGCCTCAGTACCTGAAGCGGGTGAGGAAACAGCACCGGCAATAGGTACAGAGGCATGAGGAATGTCTGAAGAGTGGTCCAAAGACGAGGCGGGGTCAGAACGGGGTGCGGTATCAAGAAGGGGCCCGGGGGTACCAGGTTCATGGACTAGGGCTGCCATGGTTAGGTTACTTCTTTCTTTTTGTTTTTAAGAAAAAAAAGAAAGAAGAAAAGAAAATAAAAATAAAAAAAAAGAAAAAAAAAGGGGGACCGGGGAGGGATAGGTCCTAGGAGGAATGAAAGGGCCAGAAATCTCCCTCCGCGCCCAAGAGGACCTCAGCACCGCAAGTAGCGCAGATGCAGCATGGAACCCGTGCCATACCCTACCCATCATGCTAGTAAACTAACAATCCGGGATAGCAACCTCACATCTGCCGAGCTACCTCGGTGGACAAAAGAGAGGGCGGCCGGATATCCGCCACAAAGCATACCTCCTTCGGCCACCACCCCCGGAATCCGAAAGGTGGCTTCCAGAGATACACTCGTCGCCCGAAAGACACCCAAAGCTACTCTGGGATACCGGAGAGGGATCGGGACATCCCCAGGCGATCCAGATTCCACGGCAAACTATGCCACCGCTAAGAACCTCAACGGAATGGGATGGACCCCGGTATCCTTTCCTCTACCTAGGAACTAGCGCGCCTGTGGGAGAAATCCCAAAGGACAAAAAGAGGAAGGGCAAAAGGGAGGGGTGGGGAGGGGGAGGAGGAAAGGAAAAAGGGGAGGATGGGATAGGGGAGGGGAGATTGGGGGGTAATTAGGTTCGGTCTGAGGAAGAAGACCGATAGGTCTAATTCCTCAGACCAAGAGCCTCTTCACCACGCCAAGGAGCCCCCCTTGAAGAGGGGTTACCCTATAAACACCCCAGAAGAAAACATGGGATGAAGGTGATGCAAATGAAACTATCACAAATTATTTGTTTTATATATATTTAAGGTCAAATATGGTTACCAAGTGTGGTTTTTGCTTTCAACGTACCAAAAAAGTAGGAATTTAGTGTGATAGGCCCTTAATATGTAGAGATTTCAACCTCTCAAAAGAATTACTAATGAAGAGGTCTACCTCTAGTTTTTTATAAAATATTTGGTCTTAAAAACCTTGATCTACACTCGAGTATACGTATATTTTAAGCACTGCACATCACATGAGAGAACATATTACTAAGACCACTAATGGATACCTTTAGGTTTTTCAAAAATAGTTTAATATATTCAGCCAAACCTCAAGTTCCCTATATTGTAAATTCCATTTCATGACTAGTATCAGTTGAAATTAATATTCAGAGAATTGTTAATTTCTTAGTCTGTCACTATTAAAACTAAGTTCAATACTTTAAATGTACAGCATTACTGACAGGTTATATTCTGACTTTTTTTTTTACTATAATTTTTCCAAATTTACACTATTTTTTTAAATTAAATTAAATTACATTTATCCTTTATCTGTTGTCATTCTTATCAGGTCTCTGTCCACGTGTGAAGGATAAGAAAACCTGCAAAAAATAAAGATATGATAATTAGAAGTCTAATACAATATAATCTACAGTTATATCACTGGTTAAAATATAGAAATAAAACCCTCGATTTAATGAACTAATAGGGAGTGGGTGGCCAGCAATGGTGACTGTGGTGAACAGATTATTATTATTATTATAATCAAGGGGGAAGCACTAAACCCGGAGGATTCTACAGCGCCTGGGGTGGGGGATGTGGAAGGCATTCAGGCTTAATTCGGGGAACTGGAGCACAGATCTAATTCCCTAAATCAAGAGCCCCTCACCAACATCAAGGAACCTTCCTTGAGAGGTGTGGTGAACAGAGATTAGTGTTTTGCTATGATCATAACAATAATGACAATTCTGTAACCAATGGACATTGTTGTTTCTGAAATGACCCAGTGGAATTTGTCCTGAATTTTTAAAGATCATTAGATCAAGATTTATTTGAGGGTATATTATATTACAGTATTACAAGTACTACTACAGGCACAACATCAATTTACTGACAAAGGATCATCCAGCATCTTGTTTAGTCCAGATATAATTACAGGACCACTGTTTTCCTAAAATAGTTTACTGGGCAGACACAGATGGCAGTGTATGAAGCATATGCTCGCATATACTGTTTACAATACAGACATTGATGGTAATCCCTTGATTCTGTGTGATTCTTAGAATATTTTGCTAACACTTAACCCTACTTATGGTAAGGGTTAAATGCTATGGGTATAAAATATGACTCTGAGTCATATTTTATACAAATTCCACTGCTTTAGTTACCCAAATTCTTAGCTATTTTACTAGTATGCCTTCCAGTCTATCGACTGAGCACAAAAAAAAACACCCATTCAACTATTTCAAGTACCCTATAATGTGATCAGAATTTGGTAAGTTGGCCAATTTCACACAAAATTAAAAATACCAATTTAACTCTTTCGGGGTCGGTCCCGGAATATTACGGCTTTGAAGCCAGAGTCGGTCCTGTAATACTACTATGCAAATGCAATGTCCGCAGCTTTCACAGAGACCTACATAAAGGATCACTTGGACAACGAAATATGGATCCCAGGTTACAGATGCGACAGAGTGAACAGGCAAAAGGGGTGGAGGGTTGGCCTGTATATCGCAGAGACACTTATTTGTACAGAACTGCTAAATGTCTCAAATGATGTAGTTGAAGTTTTAGCAGTAAAGATCGAGAACCAAAATCTGGTCATTGTGGTAGTTTACAAGCCTCTGGATGCAACGTCCCAACAATTCCAGGAACAGCTGTTAAAAATTGACCACTGTCTGGAAAATCTTCCAGCTCCTGCCCCCAACATCTTGCTCCTGGGGGATTTCAACTTAAGGCACCTAAAATGGAGGAATATAGCAAATAATATTGTTGCAGTGATAACACCAGGAGGCAGCTCAGATGAAAACTCACACACACATCGAGCTTTTAAATCTCTACACAAAATTCACCTTAAACAAGCAAATAATAGAGCCTACTAGATTGGAGAATACACTGGACCTCATCTTCACTGACGATGATCCGATACGAAATGTCACCATATAAAAAACGGGACCCCCGCCTAACGATGGCATCACATAACGTTAAATCCGCCTAGCGCTAAAAAACTCTCTCAACGCGATTCGTCCGAGACGCGTCTATGTGCAGCCCGAGCCAGCCTCACTTGTTCCGCCGGTGGCATTGTTTACAAGCCAGCCTCCGCGGTAACATCCAAGCATACAATCGGAGCATTTCACATTATTAAAGCGTTTTTAGTGATTTCACTTGCAAAATAAGTGACCATAGGCCCCAAGAGTGCTTCTAGTGCCAACCCTACAGGAATAAGGGTGAGAATTACTATGGAGATGAAGAAAGAGATCATTGCTAAGTATGAAAGTGGAGTGCGTGTCTCCGAGCTGGCCAGGTTGTATAGTAAACCCCAATCAACTATCGCTACTATTGTGTCCAAGAAAATGGCAATCAAGGAAGCTGTTCTTGCCAAAGGTGCAACTTTGTTTTCGAAACAGAGATCGCAAGTGATAGAAGATGTTGAGAGACTGTTATTGGTGTGGATAAACGAAAAACAGATAGCAGGAGATAGCATCTCTCAAGCGATCATAAGTGAAAAGGCTAGGAAGTTGCATGAGGATTTAATTAGAAAAATGCCTGCAACTAGTGATGATGTGAGTGAATTTAAGGCCAGCAAAGGTTGGATTGAGAGATTGAAGAAGCGTAGTGGCATACATAGTGTGATAAGGCATGGTGAGGCTGCCAGTTCGGACCACAAAGCAGCTGAAAAATATGTGCAGGAATTCAAGGAGTACATAGACAGTGAAGGACTGAAACCTGAACAAGTGTTTAATTGCGACGAAACAGGCCTGTTTTGGAAGAAAATGCCAAGCAGGACCTACATTACTCAGGAGGAAAAGGCACTCCCAGGACATAAGCCTATGAAAGACAGGCTTACTCTGTTAATGTGTGCCAATGCTAGTGGTGATTGCAAAGTGAAGCCTTTATTAGTGTATCACTCAGAAACTCCCAGAGCATTCAGTCAAAAGAATATCCTCAAGGCTAATTTGTGTGCTGTGGAGGGCAAACAGTAAGGCATGGGTCACTAGGGACTTTTTCTATGACTGGTTGCACCAAGCATTTGCCCCCACTGTGAAAAATTACCTAATTGAAAATAAATTAGGCCTTAAGTGCCTCCTGGTGTTAGACAATGCCCCTGGTCATCCTACAGACTTGGCAGACCGACTTTGTGGGGACATGAGCTTCATTAAGGTCAAGTTTTTGCCTCCTAATACCACTCCTCTCCTGCAGCCCATGGACCAGCAGGTCATTGCAAACTTCAAAAAACTGTACACAAAAGCTCTGTTTGAAAGGTGCTTCGTAGTGACCTCAGAAACTTAATTGACTCTAAGAGAGTTTTGGAGAGATCACTTTAATATCCTCAATTGTGTAAACCATATAGGTAAGGCTTGGGACGGAGTGACTAAGAGGACCTTGAACTCTGCTTGGAAGAAACTGTGGCCAGAATGTGTAGATAAAAGGGATTTTGAAGGATTTGAGGCTAACCCTGAGAGGCGTATGCCAGTTGAGGAATCAATTGTGGCATTGGGGAAGTCCTTGGGGTTGGAGGTTAGTGGGGAGGATGTGGAAGAGTTGGTGGAGGAGGCCAATGAAGAACTAACCATTGATGAGCTGCTAGATCAACTTCAACAGCAAGAGGCCACACCTGAGGAAACTGCTTCGGAGGAGGGGGGAGAGAAATTGAAGAAGTTGTCTACTTCAAAGATTAAGGAAATCTGTGCAAAGTGGCTTGAATTGCAAACCTTTATGGATGAAAATCACCCTCAGACAGCTGTTGCAAGCCATGTTGGCAACCTGTACACTGACAGTGTTGTGAACCACTTGAGGAAACTCATAAAGGAACGAGAGGTACAGACCTCTATGGACAGATATGTTGTGCGACAGAAGTCCAGTGACTCTGAAGCTGGTCCTAGTGGCATTAAAAGAAGAAGGGAAGTAACCCCGGAAAAGGGCTTGACACCTCAAGTCCTAATGGAAGGGGATTCCCCTTCTAAACACTAAGACCATCAACACTCTCCCCTCCTCCCATCCCATCAATCATCACCAGATCTTCAATAAAGGTAAGTGTCATGTAACTGTGGATGTCTTATTCAGTTTGTGTGTATTAAAATTAATATTTCATGTGGTAAAAATTTTTTTTTTTCATACTTTTGGGTGTCTTGCACGGATTAATTTGATTTCCATTATTTCTTATGGGGAAAATTAATTCACCTAACGATAATTTCGTCTAACATTGAGCTCTCAGGAATGGATTAATAGCGTTATGCGAGGGTCCACTGTACTCAGATCACAACATAATCGAGGTTCAGATATGTGTGGAGCCCCAGACCGACAAAATGTGATCAGTCATGAGGGAGCCTTTACCAAATTCAACTTCAATAACGAGAACATAAAGTGAGACCAAGTAAACCAAGTCCTAAATGATATAAGCTGGGAAGATAGACTAAGCAACACAGACCCCAACTTATGCCTAGAACAGATTAACTCTGTGCCACTTGATGTATGCTCAAAGCATATTCTTTTAAGAAAAAGGAGTAGATGTAAAATAGAAAGAGACAGGTGCTCCCTTTACAGAGCGGCTAAAAGAGGCCAATATATCTGCAATACGTAGGGAGACACTGGTCAGAAAAATAGCAAACATCAAACTAAAGCTAAAGGAATCTTATAGGAGTCAGGAATCGCAGGAAGAACTGAAAGCCATAAATGAAATTGAAAGAAACCCAAAGTATTTCTTTTCTTATGCCAAATCAAAGTCGAGAACAACATCCAGTATTGGGCCCCTACTTAAACAAGGTGGGTCCTACACAGATGACAGCAAGGAAATGAGTGAGCTACTCAAGTCCCAATATGACTCAGTTTTTAGCAAGCCACTAACCAGACTGAGAGTCGAAGATCTAAATGAATTTTTTATGAGAGAGCCACAGAATTTGGTAAACACAAGCCTATCTGTTATCCTGATGCCAAATGACTTCAAACAGGCGATAAATGACATGCCCATGCACTCTACCCCAGGGCCAGACTCGTGGAACTCTGTGTTCATCAAGAACTGCAAGAAGCCCCTATCACGTGCTTTTAACATCCTATGGAGAGGGACTATGGACAGTGGGGTCATTCCACAGTTGCTAAAAACAACAGACATAGCCCCACTCCACAAAGGGGGCAGTAAAGCAATAGCAAAGAACTACAGACTGACAGCACTAACATCCCATATCATAAAAATCTTTGAAAGGGTCCTAAAAAGCAAGACTGCCACCCATCTAGATACCCATCAATTACACAACCCAGGGTAGCATAGGTTTAGCGCAGGTCGCTCCTGTCTGTCCCAACTACTGGATCACTACAACAAGGTCCTAGATGCACTAGAAGACAAAAAGAATGCAGATGTAATATACACAGACTTTGCAAAACCCTT